GGCATTTCTGCTTTGATTATGACCCTTTGCATGGAAAGGGTATTTACAGATGGTATCTTAATCCTTTGTGTGGAAAGATAAAGCAATTTTGAGACAAAGATGAGAGAGAAGCTAATTATATCCCTATTTCTATGCCTCTAAGTTTGTTCCCACTCTTTTGGGTGATTCATTGTGTAATGTTAAGGTCTCAATTTCCCCATCTTTTGAATGGGGTAGATAACAGTCACCACCAGATAATATTCAGAGAGTACTTTGAGATCCTCTAATGAAAGTCACTAGATAAATACAAAGGACATAATTATTGAAACATCTAAGCCACAGATGAATAATATAGAGTGACTGGAATGTGTGGCCTGGAAAAAGGGTCTAGAGTTTCTCTCAAATTTGGCTTTGAAGCTGGCTTGGGCTATGTTGATTTCCCTCCCTTTGCTTTTGCCTTTCTCTGTAGCTGTCTGCTAGGGAGCCCCAGCACCTTCTGAATTCTCTATTCTAAACCAACTTCAGATGGGGAGGGAGGCAGGAAGGGAAAGGATGGGGCGGGGGCGGGGGAGAAGAGGAGGAGGGAGGAAGCTATCTTGTAGTTTGGGACCCATCCAGAGGCTGAGAGCAAATGTGCTTCTAACTGGCTGTCCTCTTGGGAATGTGTTTCATTAGCCTTCTCTCCAGGGAGGGGAGAAAAGGAGCTGGAAGCCCTCAGCCTCGGGTTTATGAAAGTGGCCTTTGTTCTCCCACTTCTTTGTTCCACAGTCACTGAGAATACAAGGTTTCAGCAGACTCCAATTAAATGGAAAACGTGTGACAGGAGTCACCCAGCATTGTCCATTTGTGAGCCCTGCAATATGTCTTGTATCTCCATATACCTTTTGCCCTTAGACACACACACACACACACACACACACACACACACACACACACACACACACACACACACACACACACACACACACACACACTACAACGTCCCAAATAATCTTCATCCTTTTTCCCTAATTGCTTTTGGTAGACAAACAGGAATGGAAGGGCCTTTTTTGCAGAGTCCTTAGCGAGTCCAGAATCCTCTGGCTGGAGTATAACCTAGTCCACCTCCCTGCCTCCCAGAATCTCTCACAGTCTCACACTCATTTAATTCACATAGCTCTTATTTACTTTTTCAACTTTGGTATCATGCTAATCTGTCACTACAAGCAGTTCCTCGCACTGCAGTGGGGTATAGTGGGAAGAACATTAGACTTGCTATTTGAATTCTGGCTTCAGACACTTACTGCTGGGTGACCTTGGGCCAGTCACTTCAACTTCTCTGAAGTTTGAGTTCCTCTTCTGTAAAATGTAGAAAAATAATAGCACTTCCCAACATTGTTGTATCATATAAGATAATGTATGGAAAGCCCTTTGTAAACCTTGGAATCTTATGTAATTATCAGCTGTTTTTACTAATCATCCCTTCTCTGCTCTTGCCCCAACTATACTCCTTTATTGCCACTAGGTGGTAAATTTATTTAAGGGCAGAAATCAAATTGCTCCTTCATTGTGAGCCACTTCTTTCTGTCTCCCAGGGTCTATAACACAAAGCCTTGTACATAGTATTGTTGTTTCAGTCATGTCTGACTCTTTGTGACCCCAATTGGGGTTTTCTTTGCAGGGATACTAGAGTGGCTGCCATTTCATTCTCCAGCTTATTTTATAGATGAGAAAACTCTGAGGCAAAGAGGGTTAAGTGACTTGCCTAGGGTCACACACAACTAGTAAGTGTCTGCGGTCACATCTGAACTCAGGTCTTCCTAATTTCAGGACTACTACTCTATCCACTGGGCCACCTAGCTGCCCTTTGTATTTTCTTTTTGAAAGAGACTGTGTGGATGGAGAACTGAACTTGGGTTCAAATTCCACCTCTGACACAAACTAACTGTGTGAGCCTAAGAAAGTCACTTCATCTCATAGTACCCCAGACCGCTCAAGACAATGAGTTACAGAACAGGTAGGTGATCTGTAATCGTAAATGGAGTTTTCTTCCCTGGGGATTTCCTTATATCTGTGGGGGAAAAAAAACCAAAAACACAGATCAGGATATTCCCTCCTCTACCCCCTCCACAAAGTATATTCACTGTGAGTAAATACAGAAGTCTGATTGTGTCCAATTTCATATTCCAATGATAACTTCAAATTATAATATCACAAGATTTTGATATGAAAGAGATCTCAAAGATCATCTGGTCCAACTCTCTCCTTTTATAGATGAGAAAGTTGAACTACAGAGAGTTTAAGTGACCTGCCCAAAGTTCCACAAGCTGGTGACAGGTGTGGGATTCAAACCTAGATCTTTTTACTGCCTCCCCAGCTAGAAGGGAAACTAATCCTATCATTTGGAAGAAGGAGAGAGGCAGAGGAGAGCCCACCTCTACTCAACTGAAAACTGTTTCCCAGCTTTGTGGCCCCTATCTCTCCCCTCCTCAGAAAACATGTTTCTGAAAAAGCAGAGGGAGGGAGGGAGACAGCCTGATGAGCCTTAGATATAGAAGGATGGGTGAACAAGGGAAAGGAGAGGGAGGGAGGGAGAGAATTGAGTGCGTATGTGAATATCCAAGTTAATAGGGAGATAAATGGGAGGAAGCAGCTGGCAATGCTAACTGTATTCTATGACTTTACAATCCCAGGGGCTTGGCTCTCAAAATAATAGAACCGGTTGGCTCTGAGTAATGCAGCCAGAGTGTAGGAGGGTGGTAGGGCAGGCAGACACCCCAGCTCTATTGTTCAGCCGGGCACTGGCTGCAGAGAACACAACAATCAAGCTCTTAATTTTTTATAACTAGGCTGTTCTCTTTCTTTTTTGTCTGGTGTTATTGTTCCGCCTTGTTAAGATGAAAGTGGCTGTTGGATCTTTACAAGCCCAGAGACAGTCTCTGTGTGTACGCACGTTCCCAGCTCTTTGCCAGGGGAGGCACTGAGTTTTGGTCTCTACATCATGGGTACAGTCTGGGAAAGAGGGCAGAATGAGTGAGGGGTCTTGGAGGGGACAGGAAGGGGCTTGCCAGGCCAGGAGCTAAAGGCTTGGTAGCCCCAGAGGGAGAAGGATCCTGCCCCAACAGCATATGGATGAGAGAGGGGTGAAGGCGGAGGGCATGTGACTGGCTGTGACATGAAGAAGTGAATGTGAGAAGCTACCTCTTTCCAGCCATTCTGAAGCCTTTGAGAATTTTCGTTTTTCTGATGGTGCTGAAAGAGCCTTCAAGGGGCAGACAGGGCCATGTCTCACTTCTGATCTGTCTTTGTTATTGAGGGAACAAAGAGAGAGAGAGTTCTCAAAGACTGATTTCAGGCCAGACATTCTCTATTTCTTCTCTGAATGGGGTGGGACAAGGAAAGGGGGCTGGTTTGGTGTTCTAGACACCCTGACCCTGCTGAACAGAGGTGGCAAACCAAATTGTCTGCCAGTGGGTATCATCTGAGTGCTCCAGTGTGGCTCTGTGTTTTCCTGCCTAGACCCAGACTGGCCAACCTCTAGGAAAGGAAACCATAGCTGTCAGGTGGGACAGGAGCATAGATATAGGTAGGCTGATTACTTGGAGTGAGTCAGCCCATAACAACCTAACTGATATGAGTGAATAGGCAGAAGAAAAATATAAGAAAAACAAGTAAGGTGAGTCTCGTCATATGGAAAAATGCTGCACCGTGTAGTTTTCCCAAAGCACTTTTGCTATAAAACAGAGAGGCCTTTGTTTTACTATAACATTTGTCTCTCTATTACTGTGTGGAGAAACCTCACCCTACCCTCTCACCAAAATCTAAATTACAATTCTATGAAAATTTGGCATGGCGAAGTGTCAAGAGCACAGAAGATTAAGAGGCATGTTGGTATAGTGAGTGGATTGGACACTAGTCTCAGGAAGACCTTTGTTCAAATCCTGCCTCAATCAATTTACTCCTTGCATGACCCTAGGCAAGTCACTTAACCTCTCTGTGTCTTGGTTTCCTCACCTGTAAAACAAGGGGGTTGGGACTCAGTGACCTTTAAGGTCCCTTCCCCCTCAAAGTTTATGATCCTTGATCTGTGACTAAATTGCTGTATGACCTTAGGTAAATCTCCTTCCTTCACTGGGCCGCATTTTCTCCATCTGAAAAATTTAGGGTTGAACTAGATACAGAAGCAACAAACTTGCACCTGGCTGAAGGCATGTGGCCCACAAAACTCCTGAGTTTTGTAATTAGAATGTAATTAGGAAATATTTAACAAAATAAATAAAAATATAGCATAGTATCAGTAATGTTAATTTGTGATTTTTCCAAGTCAATATGTAGCCTGTTTCTATTTGAGTTGGACACCACTGAACCAGAAGAGCTCAAAGGCCACATCCAACTCTGACATTCAAGGAGGAAATACTTGACTACTGAGAACACTGCAAATATAGGAAACAATATGAGCAAAGGCATGGGGTAGTAGCATGGGGTGTATTCAGGGGACAAAGAAATAGATGAGTTTGACTGAATCATAGTTTAGTAGTAGTGGAGGAAAGACTAGAAAGGTAAGGCTGAGTTGAGATTATGGAGGGCCTTGGAGAACAGACTGAAGAGTTGGGTTTATTATTCAGTACATAAAGGGGAGATATGGAAGAGATTTGACCAGAAGAGTGACATGCTCAGCAGCTATCCCTTTAACAGCAGAATGGTCCAAGGTAGTGTGGAAATTTTGTATGCTCTTGTGTTGAGATATTGGATATTTTGGAATCAGACAGCAGGGAGGGAAGGACTCTTTGTTCCCAGGAAGATTGATGGCACACATTTCCCTTTCTAGCCTTCTACCTAAGGGAAGAAGTGCAGTCTGAGGGCAGGAAGGATGTCTGCCTTTCCACCCAACCACCCATCATCCCTTCCTGTCCCTTGCCTCAGAACATTCTCTGACAACTAACTGTCACTACGGGGTGGGGCTAGAGGTCAGCGCTGAAGCTGACTCATAACTGTACAATATTCATTGATCTTGAGAGAAACTTTGTTACTTCATCCAACAGGTGTCCAGTTATCCCTTACTTTGTGTCAAAGCACTAAATTAGGCACTGTGAAGGGACAGGAAGAAGAGTTCTGCTCTCAAGGAGCCATTGAGGAAGCAAGACTCCTAGAATAGTTAAGTATCAATATGAATCGGCATCTCATTTAGTACCTAAATCCTGCAGAGTCCATGAGTGCTATAGGATTTCAAAAAAGGGAGATATCAGAATAGACTGACCTGATCCAGCAACTCATCATGAAAGTAGAAATTGTGCGGGGCCTTGAAGGTAGGATAATGTTAGATGGGTAGGACAGTCAGGAAACAGCACAAACAAAACTACAGAAGCAAGAAAAGGCACCACGTGCGATTTCAAGGAATATTGTTCTGGCCTGGAGCCTCCTTATAGGACAGGAGTTCAGGAGAACAGTCAGGGCTGAGAATCATTTGTATGAGGCTGGTTTAAGACTTAGTAACCAGTGTTCCTCAAGGGAGAGAGAAAAAGGATAAAGATACAATCTGGGAGGATATGTCTATACTTTGGGGATAGGTGAGGAGGAGGGCAGTATCACAGAAACTAAGACAGGAGAGGTGGTTAAAAGGATTAAGTGCCACAAAGAGGTTGAGAATTATGAGAAATAAGAGAAAGTCGCTGGATTTGAGGATTAGGAGGTTAGTGGAAACCTTAGAAGCATTTCAGTACAGTGGTAAGGAGGGAACCCAGATTGCAGGAGAATAATGAGGAATTGGGGAGTAAGGAAGTAAAGGCAGTAGGCCTAGTCTGATATTAGTGAAAATGGGAGTGAGCTAGAAGGGGCAGGTAAGTCAAATGAAAGCTTTAAAAAAAATTTATCCATGGAAGATGAGGGAGCAGGGTGTGTGAGAGGATCCAAGCATATCTGAAAGCTAAGAGGAAGGGGACAGTGGAAAAGCAGAGTTTGAAAATTCATATATTAGCTACCTTGTCATTCAATATATTAGCTTCCTTTGCCAGTATCAAGTCATATGCCAATGTCTGCCCTTTCTCTGTTCTTCCATGCCTGTCCTTAGCTCATAAATACCTGTTCTGTAGAACCATATGAGGTCCTTGGACCAAAGGGATTCCTAACATCTGCCTGCTTGCAAGTGGCCCTGCCCAAGTGCCAGACCTGCCTTAAAGATGCTCCTTTTGTTACCTCTACAGAAAAACCCACCTCTATGCAACTCAGAAGTGTTTTCCCATCATTATGACCCTTCATCTCTCTGTCTCTTTCTCTTTCTGTCTCTGTCTCTGTTTCTCTGTCTGTCTCTCTGTCTCTCTGTCTCTCTCTGTCTCTCTGTCTCTCTCTCTCTGTCTCTCTGTCTGTCTGTCTGTCTGTCTGTCTGTCTCTCTCTCTCTCTCTCTCTCTCTCTCTCTCTCTCTCTCTCTCTTCCTTTCCAGAAAGGGAAGAAGCAGAGGGAAAGAAGGGATCCTAGGTGCCTCAGGTCTGGAGGGCCTGGCAATTTTGGTGACCATTCTTTAGACTAGGTATTTTAGGAAGTTCAGTATTCCCTCACTCCTACTAATCAGACCAGAGAGCCTGAGCCAATACTAGCTCTGTTCTATCCTTGAGTTTTTGGATAACCTTCATAAAGTTTGTCACTCCTGACCCATACCTCTATCACATGGGATCGATTAACCAATAAGAATTTATCGATCACCTGCTATGAGCCCAGCCTTGTGGGGAAGATGAGAGAAGACAGTGTCCCTGCCCTCTTCCCTTTCAAAAAAACCTGGATTATAACCTTAGAAACTGAGAGTAACATCCAGGAAATAATTAGCAGACAAGTACATACTAAACTGCGTACTGTGGATTCCAAAGTGCCTTTCCACTCCAGGTTCTATGATTCCCCCATATTGAACCACTGTTGAACTCCTTGGCAAACCACTATAGGAATGAACTACATGATCCCCAGCTAGCTATTGCCTTTCTCTGGGCCTCTGTTTTGTTTTGTTTTGGTTTTCTCTGAAAAACGAAGGAGCTTTCAGTTGCCTTCCCTGCTATGACATTTCTACAATTCTGTTATCTTTCCACATGCATAAGTCTTGTCTCCCCAGCCAGACTGTGAGCTCTTCAAGGGCAGGAACCGTGTCTCTCTCTTATCTCCCCTGGGGCCCAACGTTTGTCCCCCAAAAGATGCTCATTGCATATTTGCTGACTTTTTTATCAGTTGTGTCTAGTTGGCTGCCGTCTTAGGTGAGGTTCTGTTCTCCATTTTCAGAAAAGGGGAGAAAAATCTCCTTTTGGTTTATATGTAAAGTCTTTAACTCATTGGTCATTGATTAAGGCTTGCATGATAATAATAATTATGACAACAACAACAGCAATAACTAACATTTATATAATGCTTACTGTCTGCCAGGCACTGTGTTAAGGAAAAGGGAATAACTATTTATATAGCACCTACTAAGTGCCAGGCACTGTGTTAAGAATTTTGTTGTCGTTGTTGAGTTGTTTCAGTAGTGTCTGACTCTCCATGACACTATTTGGGGTTTTCTTGATAAAGATGCTGGAGTGGTTTGCCTTTTTCTTCTGCAGTTCATTTTACAGATGAGGAAACTGAGACAAACAGGGTTAATTGATTTGCCCAGGGTCACACAGCTAGTAAGTGTCTGCGGCTAGATTTGAACTCAGGTCTTCCTGACTCCAAGCCCAGCGCTCTATCCACTGTGCCACCTAGCTGCCCAAGTACTAACAATTAAACTAAATGTTTGTAGAGATTCTGAGAACTATGTAGTCTCAAATTGATGTAAATTGTATCATCAGGGCTATGGATGAGCAAAAAAGAAGATGAGCTGGTCACACCTCAAGTTCTATTAAAAATAACTAACATTTACGTAAGATGTTAAAGTTTGTGCTTTACATATAACCTCAAGATACCATACATGCCAGAAGAATGTCTCCAAGGCATTGATGGATCCTCTGTGGAGGACGTGGAGGAGAACGTGCACAGATTGCACTGGAGGAAGTGGGTAGGGATTGTAATTTGTACTGGTTGATAGAATAACTACACTGCGGAAATCACGGATCTACGCTTTCTGGGCCAAGGCCGCTCCCCTAGCTATATAAATATAGCTAATCATCTGATGGGTAGGGTTTCTGCCCAGGACCAGGTGTCCCACTCAGATTTTTTTTAGGGGTGTCCTCCCACAAAATCATGTTTTGTTTTGTTTTGTTTTTTAGTTGGGAGGGACTGTACCAGCCATCAGATCCAATCCATGCCCCCCACCCTACCCCCCCCAAAAGAATATCCACTCTGCCATGCCTAAGAAGTGATCATGCAGCTTCAGCTTGAAGACCTTCAGTGAGTGAGAAGCACCGCTTCTGCAGGCAGCCCATTCAAGAGCTCTAATTTTTAGGAGTTTCCTCCTGATGTGAAATCTAAATCTCCCTCTTCGCAGTTTCTAGCCATTGTTTCTGGTTCTGCCAGAACCAGTCTTCTATGTTACAGCCCTCGTGAGTACTCAAGGATCACTACTGTGTTTTCTCCCATCTTGTCTCTGATCTTTCCCTCTGGCTGGGCATCTCTGTTTTCTTGAACTCATCTTCCTATGGCAATGGGGATCAAGGTTCTTCACCACCCTGGTTGCCCTCCTCTGGATCATCTCTCCCTAGAGATAACCAGAACTTATAACTCATTTCATATGTGTATATGAAACTGATTTGTCCCGGGGGCAGCGAGGTGGTGCAGTGGATAGAACCAGACAAATCTAACAAAAAGGCAAACAAGAAAGTAGTTAATGACTTGAATAGAACTTTAAAAAAAAAAAAAGAAAGATGATAGACCTCTGGTGATTGTTGAATGAAAATGCAAAAGAATATATATAATTCTCAGTTATATATAGTCTTTTTCAAAAATTAACCATGTATGGTGGCACAGCGGATAGAGCTCCAACCTTGGATTCAGGAGGACCTGAGTTCAAATACGGCCTCAGACACATAACACTTACTAGCTATGTGACCCTGGGCAAGTCACGTAAGCCCATTGCCTAACCAAAAAAACAAAACAAAACTGATTTATCCCACTCCTTCCCCTGCTCCCCATATACCATTAAGACCTTGGTCTTGGCTTGGGTTAGTATCAGAAGTACAGGCCCGACTGTTCCAGAAGAAAAGTATACACTGGGCTCCCTTCACAACCTAGTGACTATGACTGTTGGGGTCAACTAACTCATAGGTACCATGATACAGTGAAAGAGTATTGGCTCTCAAGGACCTGGGTTTTAATCCTGCCTCTAACGTTGACTACCTGCGTAATAGTGGGCAAGTTATATAACCTCTGTGAGCCTCAGTCTCTTCATCTGTCAAATGTAAAATGAGATTAGTTGGACTTTGAGGTTCCCACCAGCTCTAAACTTTTGATCCTGTAGGTATATGAATTATGGGCCTGGGAAGGAGGATGATCTTATCCATTCTTCCTTACTTAATATTTAAATACCTTATGTTATCAACCAAATATGGGGAACCTGGCAGAGGGAGAATGGAGTGAGAGAGGACTGTTAGTATCTGGACATAGGAATCTACCTAGATGGCCAACAGGTTGAGAGACAGCAGTGAGAGGCAAACATGAAAGATCAGGCTGGATTACCAACCAAGATTGGTGTTTAGGATGTTTGGAGAGAGGTGTGACCACAGGAAGCAATGGTGTATGTAGAAGTTTCCAGCCTCTCTCCAAGACCCTAGGCCTAATCATATTTAGCAGTGGAAGTCAGGAGCTCACTATAGTAAGTAAGATAACTGGATTTGAAGTCAGGGGGAACCAAGTTCAAATCCAAACTTTTCTGTATATTATTCATGTGACCATGGCCTATTTACTTAACCTGTCTGGGGCTCAGTTTCCTCGTCTGTAAAAATGAGAGGGCTGGCCTAGATGATTTTCTGCAGATCTTTTCCATTTCTAAATTCTGTAAGCCTCTAAGTGAGGCTATGACCTTCCAGAAGGCAGGGTGGGGAGGAGAGGGAGAGAGAGGAATTTAGCAGTGTTTCCTGACTGTTTCCTGGTAGCCTGATAAAAACGCTACCCCTCAAGGTGACCCTGGTTTATTTTTTAATCTGGTTGCTGCAAACCAGATCCCTCAGTCTGAGGGATCTCAGCTGAGGCCAACTGATTTCAGGGGGGTAGTCTTGCCTAGGACTGGGAGTCCACAAGGGTTGGGTAGTGGATTTTTTTTTAGGTATTTCTCTCAAAAAAAGTCAAGAAAATTATGTCTTTTGGCAAGTGTTTCATCCAGTTGTTCTGAAGGAGTTGTCCCCATGGGTTCTCATAATCAGTAGAAATTCTTTACACTACCATCCTGTGTGGTGTGTGCACATGCACGCACACACAGACACACACACACACACACACTCTCATATATACAATCTTGATTCCCAACTGTTCTTTCCTTGAAGTTCAAACCCTGCTTATTTAGTATGTGGCTAGATTGGAGTGAGGAGGGAGCATTAATTTCAAACTCTGGTCCCTTGGGGGAGATGTGGTGAACTACGAAGGCCCGAATCCCTGCTTTGGAATAATAGCTCCACTCTCAGAAGGGAATCCTGGCCTGGTCTACTGGAGACCTGTTAATTTCATGAAGGTGATGACTCAGGAACCTGCTGGCCCAATGCCTCCTTTCCCCATGGGAACCAACAGCCTGTCCATCCCACTGGTCTGCCTTCCTCCCTTTGTTTGCATTTAGAGTAGGCAGTGTTCCATGCAGAGGGACCCAGATCACCATGTACGTCATAGCAACAAGTCACAGCAACGTGCTTTAAAGTCAGCCACGTGCTGTTCCCACAACTCCTCTGTGAGGCAGATGACATCAGTGGTATTGGGCTTATCTTAGCGGGAGACTGAAGCAGCAGAGGGCTTAAGGAAATTATCAAAGGTTACAAAGGGACCAGGATTTGAACCCAGTCTCCTAACTCCAAGTACAATTCTCTGCCACATGACAGTTGTTTCTGTCTGTGTGGACTGAGTGAGTTTTATGCTCTACAGAACTGTTTCTCAAACAATTTTATCATTTGGTCTTCCCAACATCCCTGAGAGATCAGAAGGATAGGGATTACGAGCCTTATTTTTGTATGTATTTTGCTTATCCTTTTTGATGTAAACAATCGTATCTAATTTCCACACACCTCTAGAATGAAGCCTTCCTTGGAACAATTAAAAAAAAACATGGGGCAGCTAAGTGGTGCAGTGGATAGAGCATCCGTGCCTTGGAGTCAGAAGGACCTGAGTTCAAATGTGACCTTAGATACTTGACACTTACTAGCTGTGTGACCCTGGGCAAGTCACTTCACCCCATTGCCTATCCCCTCCCCAAAAAAACGAAACAAACAAACAGAAAAAGGCATTTAAGCTCAAACTTCCAATGCAGCGATCATATATGATAATGTAAATGGCATTTGGTCCTAATAGTCCGCTGCGTCTCTGTCAGGACTGGTGATATTAGCCTAATGTAACAGATGAGGGAGCAGAGGTTTCAAGGAGGGGAAGCCTGTGGAAGTTTTTCCATTTTAGGTCTCTAGTTATTGACTTTTCTGAGTACACAGGAGGCTACTACAACCCCTTTCCAGTGATCGGCTAAAAGAATATATTGGAAGCCAATTGCGTTAGATGAAAGGAAGGCTTCCTCATCGTGAGGATTTTTATTTATAAGAATGGAGAATCCTTTCCTCCAAATGATAAGGTCGTCACCCATCTGTCCTATGTAAATTTCCTATAAAAGGTACTATCCTAAGTTGGATGTAAGGGATGACTTAGATTTCATATCATACTCATTAGAAGGGTGCAGTTAATATCACTGGGACAATGAAAACCTTGTGCCCTCCCCAACAGAATCTACCCCTGATTCCCACTGGCAACTGCCTGGAACAATAATAATAATAACATTTATATAGCATTGTCAGGTTTGAAAAGTGTTTTACAAACATTAACCCATTTTATCTTCATCACAACCCTGGGAGGTAGGAGCTATTATTATCCCCATTTTGCAGATGAGGAAACTGAGGTAGGCAGAAGGTGACTTGCCCAGGATCACACACAGCTAGTAAGTGTTTGAGGCAGGATGAGAACTCAGGTCTTCCTGATTCTAAGTCTAACATTCTCCTTTAGTTTAAAAAAAAAAGAAGAAAGAAAGAAAGCTTTGATCCTTAGGTAAATGCCTATCCTTCTGGGAGAGATTTGAATCCTTTTATTAGATCACTTTAGTCTATCTGTCATCAGCTGTTTATACCAACAGTAGTCAAGAAGAGCCTGAAAGCAGGCTTTGAAAGAGGGAAGCCAAGAGAGTGCTATTGGTCTAAGAGGGAGCATCCAGAAGAGGGGATAGATTGAAGAACAGAGAAATTTCAGGGGCCAAACATATGCTTGGCTGGCTTCACACTTCTGCCAGTCCTAACTCCAGTAATTCTTTACACTGTGGTGGAAGAAAGCATCTGCTTGGCTCTGTTCCCTTGGAACAGTACTCCATACCCACTCCCTCCAGATCCTCTACTTTCTCACCCTTTTCCCAGGTGTTCTCCTGAATGAGACCCTGGAGAATTCATCATGGAAGGCTGCTCTTTTCCTGCCTTGAATTCTACAGAGGCATAGCAATTCCTTTTTTTTTTCCCCCTTTGATTCCTCCAATTGGCACCCCATTGAACCAGACTTGAGGGGAGGCTGGCCTGACTGAGACTGGTTTTTTGGCAGGTATGGGTCATCTGTGGCCTGTCTCTCAAAGAAGACACCTACTATAGATGGTCACAAAGGAGGAAAACCTTTCCTGCCTCTCTCATCACTACCACAGAAAATGTTTTGTCTTAAGACCATGAACCTCCCTGAGCGTGAATTGGGACACACCAAAGAGGAAATATGGAAATAAGACCAAAAAACCTCTCCCAGCATGTGCCATCATGCACTGGAGAGAAGGATGGGAGGTGACTGTTTGTTTTTCTTGTCTTGAAAAGAATGGCCTCAGCTGATTTCAGCTTGGGTGTTACTCAAGGAGCTCAGTCAGCTAGGTAGTTAGGGAAGGGCTATGGAACCCCAAAGACAAACTTGAACAACTTCGTAAGTATCATAGGCTGACCCTGCCTGTGCTATCTTGTCTGGGAAGTGGTGGGCAAATAATCAAGACTGTACTGAGGGAAGGGAGGAGGAAGACAGGAAAAGGAGAGTCCTTTACCAAGGAATTTAAAGAGAGAAAATAAGTTTGCAGTAGAAAAGATCAGGGACAATCTCATAATTGGGGCAGAAGTTGATTAGAGATTCATCTTTTTTTTTTCCCTCGTCTCTCTTTCTCCCATTAAGGAAGTTTTCAGCATGACAGCAGGAATCTTCAGGGTCTGCCTAGTGGTGGTCACTGCCATCATCAATCATCCAATCCTGTTTCCTTGGGAGAATGCCACAATCCCAGAAAACGAAGAAGAAATCATCCACAAGATGAGGGCGCACCAGGAGAAGCTGCAGCTGGCACAGCTGAGGCTGGAAGAGGAGGTGGCCAGGCTGGAGGAAGAGAAGGAGGCCCTGAAGCAAGCTGCTGAGGATAGCCAGCAGCAGAATGAAGGCCGGTTGGCCTGGGACCTGTGGAGTACCCTCTGCATGATCATTTTCCTGATGATTGAGTTGTGGAGGCAGGACTACCTGGACAGCATCCCACCTGACTCTCCTGGAGAGGAAGACGACCTGCACAGTCCAAGGATCACCTTTCAAGGCATCAACCTCCCTGATAAGGTGACCCTATCCCACTTTTACGAACGATGTATCCGAGGAACTACTGGAGATGCGGTCCGGACTCGGGAGTTCGTAGAAGGCTTTGTGGATGATCTACTGGAGGCACTGAGGAGCGTGTGCAACCGGGACACTGACATGGAGGTGGAAGATTTCATTGGTGTGGGTAGCATGTATGAGAACTGGAGAGTAGACAAGCCATTGTTGTGTGACCTCTTTGTGCCTTTCACACCCCCGGAGCCTTATCGCTTCCGCCCAGAGGTCTGGTGCACCAGCAAGTCATCAGTCCCCTTGGACCTCCAGGGTTATGGCCAGATCAAGGTGGGCTGGGTCAATGAGGACTCTGTGAACTGCATCTGTGACAAGACCAAGCTGGGGGAGGACTTGCTCTGCCTTCTGCACAGTAAGAACCAGAAGATAAGGCCCAACAGCAAGATGGAAGACCTGCTGTGTCTCAAGGACTCTCCATTCTTGGATATGGACCAGGTCATGAAGTGGTTCCAGACGGCCCTCACCAGAGCTTGGCAGCGTATCTCCCGCAAGTATGAGTTCGACCTGGCCTTTGGCCACCTGGATACCCCGGGATCCCTGAAGATCAAGTTTCGTTCAGGGAAGTTCATCCCCTTCAACCTCATCCCAGTGGTTCAGTGCGAGGATTCAGATCTATACTTTGTCTCTCACTTCCCCAGAGGCCGTCCTGTGGGGGCCCCGGCCTCCAGTACGCACTGGTTCCTCTCCTTTGCCGTCTACGAGAGACACTTTCTTAAGATGATCACTAAGGCATTGCCCGAAAATGCCTGCCACCTCAGCTGCCTCCAGATTGCCTCCTTTCTGCTAACAAAGCAAAACCGCTTGACAGGTGTCAGTGGTCTCAGCAGCTATCACCTAAAGACAGCTTTGTTTCACTTGCTGCTGGCCCGGCCGGCTTCTGACTGGAGGTCCAAGCACCTGGAATCCCGACTAAATGACCTGCTCCGCTTCCTGGAGAAGAGCCTTCTAGAAAAGAAGCTCTGCCACTTCTTTGTGGGCAACCAGAAGGTGCCCAACACCATGGGCATCCCTGAGGTCTTCAGACAGGCAGAGCCCTTAAACCTCTTCTGTCCCTTTGTCCTTCAGCGAAGCCTCTATCAGAAAACAGTAGATTCCTTCTATGAGATGTTGAAGAATGCTTCTACCCTCATCAGCGAGTACTCCTTGCACATCCCCGCTGACCACTCTAGCTCACTCCAGAAACGGACTCTCTTGTAGGGTAGCAGGAAGGCAAGGACTGAGGTCAGAGGGCATAGAACATTCCTCTCCCAGGTCCCAGGCCTTCAGAATCACTTGGAAACCCAGACCTGAGAAGGGCAGACTTTCTTGGGAGTTGGTACTCATCCTCTGGAGGAAGCCCCAGAAAATGTGGGACTTGGGGACCCCCAAAGGCAACAACTCAACTGCTTTTATACCACATTAGCTGGTTGGTGATTGATGGTTCCATTTACCTTAGGAATCATTCCTCTTTAAGCTCTGTTTGATTTCTCTCTTCCTTTTCCTTCCTCCCCCTCAATCACTATGGAGTTGCTGTTCTACAGCAGGGAAGTGAGGAACAGTTCCAAGCTTCTTGACTTGGGTGCAATCTTTTCTTTTTCTTTTTTTTTTTTGCATCAGGTCCGCAATCTCTACTTGAATAGCTTTGCTTTAAGAAAAGCAGAGCAGGGAGTCTCAGGAAATGACAAGGAGAGCACAAAGGGCCGATGTTGAAAGAAGCACCTAGCTTTTCTTAAAATTTACTAGGTCCTTGGCTGTGGGCTCCTGAAACCAGAAGTACCACCTGCATCCTAATGTTAGAATTTCCATACTCAGCCTCACATCCTATGGAGCCATCTTGGCTACTATTTATATGAAAACAGAAAAGAAGGATAATGGGGATGCAAGGTAGTGGTAAGCTGATGCCTCAGCTACATGGGGCACGTATAAAGATTTGAAATGAAGCAGGTTCCTCCTCCAGCATCCACTGAGCGACTCCCTTGCCCCAACTTCATGGTATGTCAGCTCCTCAGAGCAGAAAAGCTCACCTGTGTGGCTTCCCCCTCACTCTGCCCTTTCTCTCACTTGTCCTTTTTCTGTGGTGCTGGCATTCTTGCTAGTAGAATAATGGGGTGTATATAAGGTGGGGTTGGGGTGTGGCTTCTAGCTGAATATTAAAAGGGGAGGGGGCAGGAAGAAGCTGAGATTAGAAAAAGATGTATTGGAGGTGGGGTGGAGGAGAGAATACTGAGGGCTAATTTCAGAGGCTGATGGTGATTGTGAAGAAAGTATCCACTCCCTACAACATTTTTGGTGCTAAGACCCATCTGTTCTCATAGTTTGGCCCCAGAGTCTACCTTTCCTAATCCTTTGTGTCTCATGACCCTGAAGTCTCAGAACTGAGGAAGGCATATGAAATGATTAAGTGAGAGAACCACAGGCAGCAGAAGTACCAGAAGGAACCTGCTCATCTTCCTATGGGTTTTCATAGGACAAACACCTACAAGGGCTCTGAAGGAGCCCAGGAAGGCTCCTTGTCAGCCTAGATATAACCTTCTGGCTGGGCTTCTGCAAGATGCATGAACGTGTATTACGGAACCCATCCCTGCCTGCATTTTACTATATGAGTGACTCAGAAACAAAACCACAAATGTCTCAGAAAAAAAATAAAAAGCAGAGCCTTCCCATGTCCCCAGGCAGCAGCCTACCAACCATTGTCAGGACATTGGCAATAACTTAGCCAGTTTCGCCCCAAATGTATTTGATCTGAACCACAGGTGATGGAGGACTTGGGCATGGGAAAGGCAGTTCATAAAGGAATGGACCGTAGTTCTCCAGCATTGGAGCCTGGCACAGGTGGCACCAGCCCATGGTAATTTTCACTTGCACCCTAAGTTTCCTCTACTGGTCTTTGGCAGTAACTTCCTCCATGCAAATGGAGCCAGAAAGAAAGGGGTTGGGGGAGGGAGGAAAGAAGTTGAACAATTACCTTGGTACAGTTTCTCTCCCAACTCTACACCCCTCCCTGCCCTAGCAATACAGAGTTACTGAATAACTCATCTATTGATCTTTAGGGGTGGGATCCCTGTCGTGCCTGAGAAAAAGAAATAATTTCCCCATCTACCTCTCTCTGACTCTTGATAAAAGCCACTGTCCTCCCAGGGATTCTTGACAGTTTGCTTAATAAAAGGTAATTATTAGAGAGGGAATCCTGAAAGGTGAAGGCTCTGGCTAGGAGTAATTTTAAAAAAAACTTTAAAAAAAAAACCTCAAACTTTGAAACTAGCTTCTAGTCTATGGAGGTTACTGATAACACAGGGTACTAGCTTATCCCTGCCTATCAAGGCAATACAATTGAGGGAAAGTGACTTGAGTGAAAGCGGAAGGCAGGAGAAAAGTTTCCTCTCTGCACTGATTCTGGTCTCCCGCAGGGATCTGCAGCTATCCCTCCTTGTGCCATCTGGGTGTCATGGCCCAACCTTCTAAAGCACTTGGTGGTGGCAACTGCTGAACCATGGGTGGTCAATTGCCTTATTTATTGCAGCCTTTTTCTTTTCAAACCCCTATTCTGGACTCATCTGATGCTCTTTGAAGAGACTACAGAGATCAGGGACCAATTGAAGTCCAAGACCCAACCCAAACCCCATTTGACTTTACTCTTTGATTCCATGGGATATTTTGCTAAGGAATATACTCTGCCTTGTTTTTTGGGGTTTTTTTTAATTTTTAAGACAAATCCTAACAGGGCGAAAGGGATCTGGTTTTTTTTTTTTTAGCCAAATGCTGCTTCTAAAGCAATGTTGAAGTTTTTATCTGCACTCGGTATTTTATGCCGCCTTATTTATATTAAAGAGTTAAATCTTGTAAAAAGTGGATATGTCAGTGGTGGTTATTTATAGCCTCAGGAAATCTCATGGGCCTCAGAGGGCAGTGTTGGATGGGGGAGGGCTGTGAATTTCCTATTGACACAGGGAAGCTTTCGCTCCCTTTATACACATTCAGGAAGCATTAAAAAAAATATTTCTGGCTGGGCTTTGAAGCAGGCAGAGTGCTTGTGAGTTGTCAGCTATAGTGGAAAAAAGAGCCTTGTGAAAGAGAGTATCGGCAGATGGCCGCCTTGCAAATTGTTCCTCCATGGTGGTAAGCATTGGCCCTGGAAGCGATGGAAAATTTGGAGCTCTTAAAATGGAAGTGTTCTGGCCCTCTGGCATTTGACTCTGATAATGGCACAAGCATTCCTGTTACCCCCTTGGGAGTCGCCTGCTGCTTCCCAGGAATGTCCTGTCCTCTGCATCACTACCTCTTTCGGCATTTTCTGTGCCCTGTGTGGGACTATCATTCTTTCCCCCTACCCCATCCCCACAAAGGATGACAGTGCCAGCCCTGGTCAAAATCATGGCAGGTAAAACTACAGAATCATAAAACGTTAGACCTAGAGGACCCTTGGCTCTCATCTAGTGCAATTGTTCTACTGATTTCTCAGACTGATCAATCCAAGAATCTCAGAGAGATTAAGGCTCAAAGAGGTTAGGATCCCAAGCTCTCTCATTTCCCTTTTCTGCATTCTTTCCTCCTGTTTTGCTTCCCTTTATTGCCTCAACACCAAGTGCCCTCCCACCACTACTCTAGCCTCTCTCCATGGGGAGAAAAGCCTCTGATAAACTCCTTCAGCATGTAGGTGATGGGCTAGGGAATTCTTGAAGTGCAACTGACATTTTAAAAAGAACTGGGCAAGGATCCAAGTCCAGTGCAATGAGCTTCTAATGATGGAATTTTCAGCATCCTAGAATCTTGGACCAGTTTAAGAGTTTTAGGATGTTGGAAATTCCACTCTTAGATCTGAGTATGGCAGATTATATATATATATATATGGGATATATAAGGGCAAAAGGCCCTTCCCAGAATCCCTCAAATCATAACATTTGTAGGAAGCATCCTAATTGACCTATATCTAAAGGCTTGTCCTGGGAATTAAAACAGGAACTTGAAGAGCAAGATTTGGGTTCTGTTTGCAACTGCAGTCACAACCATCTTGTAATTAGAGATGCATTCAACAGCAAGAGACCACATGAGAGGATCCACGTGGGTTGAATGCTTCACAGTTTGCCAAGTACTTTATGCACATCATCCCATTCAAGCCACCCAATACTACTGGGGTTTATTGTCCCCATTTTACAGATGAAGAAACTGAAGCTTGGAGAGGTGAGATAACTTGCCTGTGGTCACACTGCTAGTATTAGAAGTTGGCTTTGAGTCCAGGTCCTCGGGACTCAAAGGCAAGCAGTCTACTCGCTGTTCCATGCAGCTTAACAGAATTATGTGACTCAATGACATCTAAAAAGCCAAACAAATTTGAGAGGTCCCACTGGGCATCTTTCCAGGAAGTTGCAGGCTATGTTCCTAGCATACAGATGGAAGGGAAAGGGGACAATAAGACCAGTCTTAGGATGACCAAGTGCCTCAGAAGGAATCCCAAACTCAGGATTGAGAGCTAGGAGAGGTCCTAGAATGCATTTTAGAATAGAAGTGATTTCTCCAAAGTTATATAAGTAGTCTGCTTCAGAGACAGGATTCAAGCTCAGATCCTCTAAGTTCAAGCCTTCCAAGTTCAATACTTTTTCCAACCCACTCCTGCCATCTTTGAGATGGGGGATGGGGGTGGGTTAAAATTAAGTGTCTGCATGTATAGTAATTATAATCTACAGAGAGGGGCCAATGGAATCTGTTGAAATCTATGTACCCAGCTTTACTAATTGGATCCCAGATATAAGGAAGAAAGGCTCAGCTCACAATTCACAGGAAATATACCTGGTTTTAATTTATTGATATTAAACAAAAAATGTAGTGAGGACATGTCACCCTTTAGTAGAAATGGGTATCTTTTTGTACTGATTCTGGGACACGTCAGATGCATGAGATCAAACCAGGAAACCTGCTAGTACTGCATGCTAACTTCTTGTTCAGTCATTTCAATCATTTCTTTGACTGAACTTGGGGTTTTCTTGGCAGAGCTACTGGAGGAGTTTGCCATTTCCTTCTCCAACTCATTTTACAGATGAGGAAAATGAGGCAAACATAAGTGACTTATCCAGGGTCACACAGCTAGTAAGTGTCTGGGCCAGATTTGAACTCAGGTTTTCCTGACTCCTAGCCAATGTGCCACCTAGCTGCATGCTAACCTGATCAGCTCCCAAATATTGATTTATAATTAAAGACTAGAACTGGATCTATTGCTTCATTGGTAGAACTTCCAAGCAACTTATAGTCTTAGAGTTGCCTAGAGAAGAGGTGTCAAGCATGGTCCACAACACTCTTAAGTGCAGCCTGAACCAGATTAAAATATAATTGGAAAATACTTCACAAAATGTATAAATATACAATAAAACATAGATAATATTAACATGTGATTTTCTAAGTCAATATGTGGCCCACAGGGATCCTTATGTACAGCTTAGTGGCATTTCTATTTGAGTTTGACATCACAGGCCTAGAGTGTTATAAGTGACTTGGAAGGGTCATCTAGTGAGAATGTATCAAAGGCAAGACTTGAACCCAGGTCTTCCAGGCTCCAAAGCTAGGTTGCTGTCCACTTCTCTAGGGAAGCTCCAGTCATGTTTTTACCTCCTCTCTAGCCTCCTCAAAAGCCTCCTCACCATTTAGTGTTTGCAAAGTACTATCTCATTTTATCCTCACGACTGCTCTGGAAGGAAGGTGCTCTTATTATCTCCATTTTATAGATCTGAAACCTGAGGCCGGGAGAGGTTAATGTCACAGGGTCACACAACTAGTAAGTGTCTTGAGGCCAGATTTTAATTTGGGTCTTCCTAACTCCAGATCCAGGGCTCCATCCCCATGCTACCTAGCAGCTTCTGCCTTTAATAAGCTTCCTTTAATTTTGCCACTCATGAGCTATGGTTCCAGTTCTATTTCCTATCAAAGTACAAAGACACTCCCACGGTCTTTCAGAAGAACTTTGAAATGGAATGTGTGACTTGGGAGACACTGGCAAACGGCCACCTGGCATGGCGAGCCCTCATCAAAGAAGGCACTGTGCTCTGTGAGCAAAGCAGAATTGCAGTGGCTCAAAAGAAACGTGAGATGCACAAATTTAGAGACATCATCCTGAATGTTCATATGGAGTATTTGTACCTGACGTGTGGTAGAGCTTCCTATATTGGTTGAATCAGCCACAGTCGAATGCACTGTAACTTGGCCCCAACATAGTGATGTCATTTTGGGTCATCTTCGAGAATGAAGGACAACAACCAGCCAACCAACCCCTTGGGATAGAGAGTTCCATAGATATGCCTTTCACTATGGAAAGTAAAACTGCCTAAACCCAATCACCAAGACTCCTAGTCAAAAGTAAAGACTTGTTTGTCCTAAGTACTTGCTACATTCTCCTTTGTGTTGCAGTCTTATCTCTAAGGCTGCTAGGTGGCACAGTGGATAGAGTGCTGGGCATGGAGTCAGGAAAACTGCTCTGAGTTCAAATATGGCCTCAGACACTTCCTAGCTATGTGACCCTAGGCAAGTCACTTAACCCAGTTTGCCTCAGTTTCCTCATCTGTAAAATGAGCTGGAGAAGGAAATGGCAAATCACTCCTGCATGTTTGCCAAGAAAACCCCAAAAAGGGGTCATGAAAAATTGCACACAACTCAACAATAACAACTTGTCACTCTCTACTAGAATACAAGCTTCTTGGGAGCAGGTACTCCATCTTCTTTATTTTCATTTCTCCCATACCTTCCAGTAAATGCACTGCACATAATGGATGAATAATAATATTTCTTTCATGTTGATTGAGTGAATTTGTCCTAAACTTACCTCCTTCAAGCTCCCAGAGGAGTCCCTGGTTCTAGGATTCCCCAAAAGTAATTCCTCAAAGCCCGTGTCCAACATGCCTTCAGTTTTCTCATCTCTAAAATGGGGTTGCATCTCTAAGGTGCCTTCTAGCTCTAAATCCTATGAACATGCATGATTCCTACTTGCAGGCCTTTTTCAGGTCCAGGTTTTTCTCCCTCCAACATGCGAGGACTTAGATATACCATCCTAGAAATTTTTGAAGCAAATGTAAGACCTTAAATTATTATATTCTATTCCCCACACAGAGTGCCAGCACCCAGGACCAGCCTTGTTCCCTAGGCAGAATATACTGACCCCATTTGAAATGTGGTATTTTATAAGCAAAATGGTTGATGTTTATCACCAGCTTCACAAAGGAAGGAGGCAAATAAAACTGTCAAAGAGAAGCACAACAAAAGATCTCACAGCAAGACCAAGACAAATAATGAATCTTAGAGAGCCAGGCTCAAAGATGTTCCTACAATTACGTGCTCTTAAGTGGATAAAGCAAGATTTTCAGGTGAAAGGGGTTGGGGAGGAGGGGAGTGTCAAGAGTTTGGGGATTTTTGTTCTGAGCACACTGGTTTCTTAAAAGTCAACTATGGAATTAAATTCCATCTTGTTCTTCATGCCACCTTCTAAAATCTGTCCTTTAAAAGCAAAACCAGGATTTGGTTCCTGTCTCTGAGGAGGCTTTTGTTTTCATCTCATAAAACCCTCAGCCTCATTGCTTGGGCTTGTCTTGCCATTAAGCCTTAGGCTGGAGGACCTGGGGTACTGAGAAGAAGATGATTCATGAAGCCTCCCTGCCTGAGATCTGTCATTCATTCTTTCCTACAGGACTAAGCTAGGTTGGGGCAAGGCTCAGTCTGAAAATCTCTTGGGAAACTGAGTGGACTCAAGGGCTGACTCAAAGCCATAGATCTCCTTTACGTGAAATCAGGGTTGGGAGTAAATGAGCCCCTGAAGAATCAGGGATCTTCAAGTCAGCCTGTAAATGGTCCAAGCCAGAGCTAATTAGGTCAGAACATACATTCTACGCTAGTGATCAGGGCCCATTGCAACCAGAGAATATCTCTGGAGGGTTGGGAACCAGAAGCATCTCAAGGACTGCAATATTATTCACTCTCAGGTCACCTAATAACACGGAATTGTAGAATCAGGATGAGGCTGGAAGGCAAGTTGGAGTTGATCTACCTAGTCCAATCTTCCTATTTTGCAGATAAGAAAATAGACTAGAGGGATAGCAATTTTCCAAAGATTGTATAACCAGTGGCAGAGCCTGGTCCCTGGACTGCCAGTCCAGAGCTCTTTTGCATTAAAAACTTTCCATTGGGAACTATTCCAGGCACAGCTCTACATATGTGCTTCCTGCCTTTTTCCTCATAATCCTTTCTTTCTGTATTCCTTTTGGAAAATCTATCCACCCAAGCCCCTCTGTGGTCAAGACCTAACTTCCACCAACAAACACGCTGCAATCCAAATCTTTAATACTTTAAAGAGAAAGCTGGAAGATGTGCCCTGTGCAAGGCCAACTCAGTTCTATGCCTTCTCTCCGTGCTCCAGATGTAGAGGTGCAGATGTGACATTCTGCTTGCTTTTTAAGACCCAATGCTGTCCACATTTCTCCTGAGATGAAACAATGCTTTTTCAATTTAAAAGAAAAAAGATGGGGATTGATAGGCTCCTAAACTGAACTCAAGAGCCTTCCAGGTTGGTTCATCTTCCTTATTCCCAGTTACCTACTACAGGATGCAATAAAAAGATACCCTACCCTAATTAACATTGACTTGGTTTTTGTTTTTTTTCTTTGTTTTGAGGGGGTTAGGAGTTAGCCAGCATGTTCAATTCAACAGATAATTAAGCATCTATTCTGGGCTCCATTTTGCATCTGTTGCTGTTTGGTTTCAACTCCATGGAAGAAGATGCCCCAGGATA